TGCGGTATATATAGAGCGTTGCTACTATATGCCAATAAACTTGCTCTGCAAAGCATAAACTCCTGCACCTAGTGATGTGCGGGCCCGGCTTGGGCTCAAAGCCCGGGCTTGGGCTTGTGACGACGTCGAGCCGAGCCCTGAGCCCGAGCCGAGCCCGAGCCCGGCCCAAGCCTTGGGCTTAAGCCTGGGCTTGCTCACAATACAACGAGTGTTCCGGTGCTATCAAAAGGGAATGTATTTGGGTGTAGTAGATTAATACTGCATGTACTCACTAAATTATAACCTCCAGAAGATCTACACCTGCGGAACAAGTCGAGTTGCAGCGAAGTCTACGGGCGTGCGCCTACGGCAGGCACCAGATGGTGACGCACAATCGTGCTCGGCGAGAGCCGTTATATCTAGAATATCTACATTTTGTCTTCTATGTGCATATTAGGTCGCTCTCTCCTTACTCTGAACTCAGGGAACAGTGACGGGGCCAGCACACCCAAGCCTGGGCTTCCGGGCCGGGCTTGGGCTTGACTACGCTCCGAGCCCGGCCTTGAGCCCGCTGCCAGGCTTGACTCGGGCCAGGCTTTTTGGGCCGGGCTTGGCGGGCTTGCAGGCTTTGAGGCCCGGCCCGCACATCACTACCTGCACCCATCTTCAATACATAGGGTGCATGATTGTACAAACTGTGCAGAAATAATCACAATTCTTGGGCAGGTATCCAGCTGGACCTGTTGGGTGACTGTTGTGTGACCCATTGCCTGGTGACCAGATGAGCTACCAGATGGCAGCCAGACCTTATCAGCCGTCTGGCGGTTATACGACAGGAATGCTTCAGCCACCTGATCGCTCGGGTGGCTCACGGTTTAAGCACTGGTATGGACTCTACCTGGGCGAAAATTGGCGGTGTAGCAGCCAAAGATGTCAAGGTGGCGAGGACGGGAGAGAGAGAAACAGGCGCTTCGAGTTTTCGCCCATTGCCCATTCCGGTACTCACAGGGGCTTTATGGTGGCCACGTGAAAGCATCGAATTTGCGAGTTTATGAGCTCATCTGCGAGTTCGCTGGGCGAATGCCGCTAGAGAAAGCTTAGCTTGTCATCGTTCAGCCTCATCATGGAGCATCATGGCCACAAAACGAATATAAACTCACCATCTGAGATATCGGTCTCTATAGGGCGCGCATGCAGCCGTAATCAATAACTAGGCCTCGGCCACCGAGATTTTTGCAGCAAGCCGAGATTTACCGACGCCGTGCGCCGTGCAAAGTCCTCTGTATATCTGGTACGGCGTGTATCGTCACCGATGGCATGCAGGCGCTAGATCGCGGCCTGCGGTTGCGCTCACGAACATTACAGGGACGTGGAGCTCCGTAACTTGGTACATTTAGACAGGCATAGTACGCAGGTTGAGGAGTGATGACAAGATGGTGGCAAAGTCACACAATCGTTAGCACAAGTGCAGGCTGACGCCCTCTGGATCATGCACAAGATGCTCTTACGCGAGAGGTGGGCGTCCCGCAGAAAGAACATACCACTTAACGTTAGTATATAGGTCATTGTATACCACTGATAATTTAAATAATTGCTCACACCAGTGCCAGTAATAACGAGATCGAAGTCGAAGTTGAACATTCAGCGGGCGGTTATCAGCAGCGGCGCGGAGGAGCGCATCACCAAGGACGTATCGGGCGCTACGAAGTAGCGCAGCCTATATAAGTCAACCCTGCTCTGCTTTCGCCGCAACCGACACAAGTACTGCACCTTCTTCAAACAATATCCATAGGCGAAAAAAGTTGTTCGCAATTTTATGACAAGGTATCAAAGTGTCTGCCACCACAGCTGCTGTAAGTATGCGGGCTGAAGAAATAGTACGTCCCATATGTCCGTTGCTGATACGATAACTCACAAGCATTTATTCACAAACAGACTCCACATAATCCGCTAGTAGAACATGCTCCACGAAATGTGCCACTACGTTTCAACGACAATTGGTCGCAGCATCAAGGAGGCCATAGCTCACGCCTCTTTATGCTTGCCCTCGGTTGGGTCGCATCGGACACCACGCTGCTCATTTTTGATCGTATAGAAAGTGAGATATGTGCAAATTGGAGTATTGACTATTGCTAAGCCATCGTTCAAGATGCAGTCACGGTTCTTGCTGCCTTGCGGACTGTGAGTCCCAAGGCGAGCCGAAGTTGCTGCTTCCAGGCACATTCGAGCTTTCAACATTATCTGCGATAATGAAAGTCTGCTGGACGATGAAATGGCAACGTACGGATAGCCTGAGGCCTAAGACTGCTCCAACGACTCAGTCTACGACAGGAATTCCACGTAGTGCGTGAGGGTCCGATTTTTGACGTGCCGAACCTCAGAAAGTAGTGTCTTACTCGTGCTGCGTACGCCATAGGTTGGGATGCCGAGACTGTTGACCTCCGTGCGACAGATTTTGTTCTAGTAAAAGAGCTATATCTAGGATCTCGACGCCCGTCTTCCTCGTGCGAAATCATCAGTGTAATGGCGCTCTTTGAAACTCTCGCATTGATTCCACGATGTGCGCGTCTCTGACTCTCTCTACACTTCCATCTCTATTCTTTCCAACTGACGTTAAACCGTCATGTTTTTCAGTCATCGTCTGTCGCCCGCTCCGGATGAAATCTATGCGTCTAGTCTTGAGACACTTCACCTAGGTCTGTAGTTGATGAACAAAGAGGTAACCGTGTACGGGTAGCATCGAAATACAAGCACTCTAGGCCGGCAGGCACGCTGACCATGTATGTCGGGTGGCTTATCGGCGCAAATCCGACTAGCAGCGGTTCCGCCCCAAGCGATTAGAATGCCCTTAGACGGAAGCGCTGTGGGCGGCGGCTTGAGTGTCATGTACGACATCACGACGACGATATCACACTACTCACGGAAGGACGACACCGAAGATGATTGCGATGGCATAGATAACGACAACAGGAGCAATGCGAGTGTAGCGACGAGCGGGATGATGCTGTAGGTGACGAACGAAAGTTGATGCCATGCTCAGCGGAATGGGTGCTGTAACGAGCCGTAATCTGCTAAAACGATACCATGGACGGGAAGATGGAGGACATAGTACTTTACACCCATCCTCAGTCGGATGGTATACACATCTTCGTCCTTATTCGTTAGCCTGAGAAGCGAGCCTCCGTTAAGTGACATTGGCCTGCGTTGACATCGTGAGCACAC